TCAGTTATTAATTTTTCGAAATGTTTCGTGAAAAACAAATCTGAGTTAAAGTAAATTGACTATCTTGGAATAATATAACAGCAGACAAGTTTATCTGCCGCTAGAGCTGTATTAGCTTATAGTACAGATGATCATAATAGAAACAAGCTAAAGTTCTGAATGATTTGTAAGATCCGGTGAAAAGTCCTCTTAATAATGCGCGACGGAGATATTCATTATTATGTCATTTAATATGCACCCATAAAGCATCTACCTCATACCTTTATTACTTATGAAGATGCAATCCTTTTGGCTTTCACAGTTTTTATTTTTATTTTTATTTTTTCTTACTTAAAACGATATACTGCCCGATGAAACAGCACTCCACTTCGATTATTAAGACTTGAACTACCGATGAAAGCAAATGTATTTGCACTTTTTTAGATTTCCTGGTACTTTTACTCCCTTTGCTAAGCTGTTTAATTCATGGATATATTATACTTTTAATAAGTTAAGCATAACAATCTCTAATTTTTATTCTTTGATTTCAGATCGGTTGAAACCCTTGACACTCATATTTCTTGCTCTGAAGACAACTGCACCGATCATTCTTTGCATTCAATACATATCTCACATGACATTGGTCCTCTTGACGCATTTACAGCACAATTAAGTTCTTGTCAAACGCAAACGGAATTATTTATTCCACCGGTACTAAACTTATGGGCCAGATGTGAGGCGGGTATACAAACGCAGCCATTATTGCAAAGGTTGGACAATGACAAGGGCAAGTGCATGGACGAGCCATCCTGCGTTGATTCTTGCACCCAGACAGAATATGTGAAGAAATTCGGGATTGCAGTTGCAGAGGCTTGCTCTTCACATGATGAGTCCTGTCGTGACAGCTCTCAATGGCAGGAAATGGAGAGAGATATGATGAAATCATATGAAAATAAGCATTCATTTGCAAAAAAAGATAGTCACATTGAGACACCTTCGTATGTCATTGAATGTAAGGCGAATCAGGTAGGTTATAAGGCTAAACTCAAGTGGTTCTTAACAATCTTCTTTGAAATAGTAACCATTTGATTATGTGTCCTTAACTCAGAACGATATGCGCTGATGAACAAAATTTTACTAAATTAATTCTTCTCAAGAGGCTGCTTAGTTTCTTTTCTACTTTTGTAGTTGGATCCAATTTTTTAGGCTATTTAAATAGCCTTGTGTACATAATGACAGTCGTTCTACCTGATTTTCATATCATGCTAAAATTTATATATAATATTCTATTTATTCGAGCTTGCAGCTT